ATTACTCTCTGTAGACAATAAACAGGAATATATATTGTATCATTTCCGCCAGAATGATAGAAAGTTGGAGGTTTTGGCGATAGGGATACTCGTATGGGGCCAAGGGGTGCTCAATTAGATGGAGTAAAACCCGTCTCGCTTACAACATGTAAGTAAAAAACTTACATGTTTAAGGGCAAATTAAGAGCAAGCTCATGGCAATACAACGGGCAGCCCCCCTCCCAATACGAATTTTGTTCCGAGGACACTGTCCTCCAAAAAAAATTATTTACTGTTGTAAAATCGGGCAAATAAAAGTGAGCCTCTGTAACTTTTGAAGTAATAATTTAAAGAGACTATAGGGATCTACTGGTTCGCGACAATTGAAGCCTGAGACACAAAAACAAAAGCAAAAAATGATTTAAACGTCTACAAAATTCCAAGAAACTTCCATTCCAGATTCGGATGTTTTCATCAACCTGTTATACAACTAGTTTTGTCCGAGAGGCAAATCACTCTAAGAAAATCTCGTACACCTTTCGTGAAAATCTTATTGTTTTGTCTGAAAATCCCCGCAAATCCTTTTGTTTTAGGCAAAATCTCGTACGCTATTTGCAAGAGTGAATCGCCCCTCGGTTTTGTCTGTCGTGCATCGTGTTTGTGGTTCGTTATTGTTAATGAAAATGTCTTTCGATGTTTGCATCAGTCATTTTGTTTGCCATCGTGCCATCTCTATTTTAGTTGCTTTTAGTCCATTTGCCGTTAATTTGCGTCATTAGGGTTTTTTCTGCGTCACTCATGTTGTTAAAATCGTATGTTCTTTCAGTGCAAGTCCAGTCGAGTTGAAGTTGTCGCTTTATCCAGTCGGTAGAGTGTAAACGTGATTTACACGCTACCGACTGACTAAAGATGTTCGGATAGCCGTTGTTATTTCGATAAGTTTGAAGCATACCAGTTTTGCCGAAGTGAGCCGTTTAGTCGTTAATTTTTCTTATTTTTCGAGGGGACGGAAAAGCTTTTAAGGATCCCATTCTGCAAAAAGACTACCCACGCCTGTCCTAGCATCTGATGAAGCCCTGTATGCCGGGGCGAAATATTAGTATATTCTTTAAATTTAATTTATTTCGAAAAAATTTTTATCTCGTTACATTGGATTCTCGTCGTCGTATTGCTTTGTTCCTGTATATCTTTCATAACAACACTCATTGCAAGATTCACAGAATCCGGCGGACTGCGGTTCTTCCTTCTCACACACTGTCCTAGCATGTCTCCTCTGGGTCGACCCGTACCCTGGGTACCAGACTCACTATACATGAAATAAAATAGAGAGTCTCTATTATTTTAAATAGTGAGTCTGGTACCCAGGGTAGGTCGACCCGGTGCGACTTACTTGGGTGACAAAGAAAAACCAGATAAAAACAGCAAATTTAAACCATAAAGGTTGGATAATTAAAACAAACATTGGCGTAGCAGAAGCTAAACGTTCAAGGAAGGCTTCGGCCGAATATCGTTGCTCCATTGGCATAAAATTGCCCGAGACACGCCCGAAACACGATATGAGCAATTTACACTGTAAACATAGTGATTGGGCAAACACGGTTCCTTTCTGCGCCGCTTCTTTACTTTCAGATGTTTATTAATATTCTATTATTTTGCTCTTCCGAAGAAAGGTTGCCCTTCAACAGAAGCTGTTTTTCAAAACACCCTTGAATAGAAGCAAAATTGCAATATATAACTGGTTATGTACGAAGAATGAGTACATACTCTTTTTACAGGAATGTATAATATTTTCCGACAAAATAACATCACGGACCATGTATAATTTCAAAGAAACTGCACATTTTGATAAAAATAGCTGATTTTTTGACGGGACTCTTCAGAAATCTTTGCTGACCACGCCATAATTAAGTAGCAAGAAGAACAATCCATTTATGATTTTTGATATCAAGATTGATATCTCATCTAAGACGATTGATGATACAAGAGGTAGACCGATAACACTTTTGACACGTCGTACGTTCATTTTATGCATTTTATCTTGTTTTCGTCAGTGAGAAATACGTTTGAAAATAACTTTTGTTCAGAAGAATCCGATAGAAATTTTGGCTGATCTTTACGGAATTGGAGCGAAACCCCCATTATTTCCGCCACTGCCCCTTTTGGTTACCTGTATCATGGTTGTGCAGCTATTGAGCTCCCCCGTTACGAAACTCCGAGTCGGCACAGCGCTCGACCAGGGACGGAGTACCTTGTGGGCAAGAGACACCATAAATTAGTCTCAGGAATAAAGTTTTAATTTTCACTCATTCTTCGTCACTGCATCAGTCTACAATACCGTATTCGCGGTTTCTTGAGGTTCTGACTCTGTTAGGAACAGAGCGGCTCCGGGCACCGCCCAGCCATTGGGCTAGCAGGGGCTATAGCCCCTCCACTTTTTTTGCGATAATACGTTAGAAAACTTTTTGGAAAGTTCACTCTAACTATGGTCTAACACAAGATTGAATAGTATACTCCTAAGAAGTAGCAGTTTTTCTTGACTGGGAACCCTTTTTGTTCATTTTCTATGTGTTTTTCATGCTGTTTTGTTATCCCCAATCTAATTTTATCTATCTTTATAACTATTGATATCTTCCCTGAACCAGATTGTTTATAAAACCCCAGTAGAAATAAACCAGTATTTTATAAAAGGGGCGTTTTCCGGCGTTCTAGAGGGCGTGGCCTCAAAAAATTTTGTAAAGCTACTGCGAGCCTC